AAGCTCATTCACCTATTCTATCTATTGATAAAGTTAAAGCTAATTCATTGACTCTTTCACTTCCAACTTTGTGCTCCTGTCCTTTGCTTAACTTCTACTCTACTCCTAATTCACATTATCTTTCACTAGGTAAGTAAATGGTATTCTTTCTTCTGAACCTCTGTCTGAGTCTGAACTCTTGAACCTGAACCTCTCTCTGTCTGAGTCTGAACTCAGGAACCTGTCCAACTCTGATTGAAGAAGTCAATCCTCAACTCAAGATTAATGAGGAGAGTGAACTGTAAGTCAAGACTCAAGATTCATTCGGCTGATTGAAGGAGGTGTAAAGCTGCTTTTTCCCTTTTAGATTCTATAGCTACTTAATTTATCCTGAACTACTGAAAGCACTCACCTTCTTTCTTGAACAAGTAAAGACGCAAGAGAAAGCTAGCTACTGAACCTTCTTTCACTTCCTACTCTTACACTTCCAACTCTCTACTGCCTACTTTCACTTCCTACTGCTTACACTTCCTCCCTCTCCCTACTTTGACATTACACTTCCAACTCCCTACTCATTACATTAAGCGATATTCATTCATTCCCTGACCAGAATCTATTTACTTTACTTACCTTCAATCTTGTAAGTAACCTTAACCTGACGAGCAAGCAAGACAACAACAAGATTCTGAATTACAGGAAGGTCAGTCAAATCCTCTCTCTCTCTGTAAAGCCGAAAACAAGACAAGAACAACAAGATTATGAATGAAAGGAAAGAAGGTCAAGCTCAAGCTGCTCATTAACCTCTAGCAAGACAACAACAACAACAACAACAACAACAACAACAACAACAAGATTTATTACAGGAAAGAAGGTCAAGTCCTCTCCTGACGAGCAAGCAAGCAAGACAACAACATGAATTACATACAGGAAGGTCAAGCTAACCTCTTCTAGTCTAGAGAAAGCAAGACAAACAACAAGATTCACATTACAAGAAAGGAAAGCTCATTCACTCACCTGACGAGCAACCAAGACAACAACAAACAACAAGATTTATTACAAGAAAGAAAGGTAAACTCATTCAACTCTAAAGCAAGAAAAACAACAAGATGAATTACAGAACGGTCAAGCTAACTTGACGTCCCAGAAGAATATAATAAAACAATATTTCTTTATCTTCCAGGACTTATATGATATTTCTTGATTGAAAAAAGACTAAATAAAGATGAATGAGAGTGAATTGTCAAACTCAACCTCAAGCTTCTTACAGTCTTTGAATAAAAGTAACTATAGGAAGGAACCTATAGTGTTTCAAGACTCAAGCAAGAGAAAGCCTTAAGCAAGATGCGTTCACTCTCTCTTTCCCCTGCCTGCCCCATCACCTGATTGAATTTAGATTCTTTAACTGTCAAAGGATTCAGAAAAGATGCTTGCTATTTTCCTCTGGATTCTTTCTTCTCGGTCTGGCAGCTTCGCGACTTAGCTTTGGTTTTTTCTCCTTCACTACTTCAGGCACTCACCTTTTTCCTCTCCTCCCTTCTTTGCAAGGGTTGAACTATTCTTTCACTCACTGTAAAGACTGAACTAAAGATGAATGAGACTCAACAAATCTTTCCTTTGTCCCTTCTTTCACAGTAAGAAAAGAATAAGAAGCAAGATTAATGAGACTGACCCTATTCCTTCTTTCATCTATTCTATTGCTAAAGCTACTAATGAATTTGCTCTTGTTAAGGATATTTAGTAATAAATTATAGTTTACCATATATATTATATTTGATATTTTATTATAAGGTAAATATCTAATATTTGCCTCATTATCCTATGTATCTTTCCATTTATTGTTATTTCTATTTATTACTATTTTCATATCCTTGTAATTCATTTGATTATAAATAAAATAATTTTCACACCATTTAAGTGTGGTGGATTAATCAAACATTCACATGGTATCAGAGCCCTCTCGGTTTAACAACCCCGATCCTTTCTTTTCAATGGCTTTTGAATCCTCTAATCTTCTTCTCCACCACCCCTGCTGGTTTTGACGCCGCAGGGGCAGTCTTCATGGCTGCCGTAGTCGGAGCCGATTGATTACTCTTCGGCTCCACCCTATTGACCTCCAAATCACCTTTTGTTATACTCTGTACATACAACCTCACCTTTTCCAACCCAATCGGTTTTCCCCTTGGCCAATATAGTCTCTCTCATTTTCTTCCCAATCGACCTTCATCCTTCACATAAACCCTAACCTAAACCTATCAACCTTTTGCAGAGATTTACCTTCGGAATCTGGGTGCCGCACTGGCCTATTCGCCAACCAAGTTGCCGCCGCCCTTTCTGTCAAAATTGGCTTCTTCGCCCGATGAGGCGACTCTTCTGACTGCCCTTCTCGCCAAAATTGGCTCCTTCAAAATTGGCTTCTTCGCCCGATGAGGCGACTCTTCTGACTGCCCTTCTCGCCAAAATTGGCTCCTTCGCCCAATGTGGCGACTCTTCCGGCTTCAACATTGTCTTTGTCCCTTGCTCT